GCTCAATTTCCTCCCTGATAAAAATGGGACTAACAATGGTTTCTCACCTTTGACACTCCTGGATGAAAAGTGCTTAGTATTATTAATTCATGAATTTATCAACCTCAAGCAGAGTTGTGACCTTGAAAATGGAGAAGAGTTCCAGAGTCTGCAGGGGTTTCTGGGGAGATCATTAGAGCTATTTATTTTAGCAGGTGAGCACGTGGCTGCTGAAGTGATGTTGCAGGGCTGAGCAGGAGAGGCAGTGCCACACATCAGATAACGGGGTGGTTTTCCTGCCCAGACAGAACTACAGAGACAGGGTACTGAGCAAAGGTTGGAATAAGCCCATCATATCCAAGTGGAAGAGATGCTCCCCTCCTGGGAGATGCAGAGCAAAGTTTTGAAAAGCTCTCCATGTTTCAGTCCTGTGTCTTATGGATTAGTTATAGCAATCAGTCATAACTATTGATCAACATGGCAGTACACAGGGACTCACTGAAAAACCTCCTTCTCAGCAGAGATCCCTTGGGGACATTTTTCTTTTTTAAGGTATTAAAATGATTAAGAAAACTGAGGTTGTGTTTTGTAAATCTTTACTAAAGAAAGGCAAATCCAAGACAATTCATCATTTGAGTTCTAAAAATTCTCTGTAAGAACATTTTTCATATGGAAGTCAGCCTTATACCATTGATATTCCAAAAGTCTATATAAAAATAGCCAGATAGTTTGCTTTACCAAAATATTCAGTGCTTTATTAACTTGCCTTTTTGCCATATTGCAAAGAGAGCTGGAAAGCCCTGAGTGAGTTACAGCTCAGGGTTCTGAAAGCCCTGAGTGAGTTACAGCTCAGGGTTCTGCAGCTTTTCACCCTCTACAATTTCCTTTGTGCTCTTTTAGCCAATGTTAATTGTGCAGCACTGCTGTCATTGGAGCATGTGTCCCCTGCTGCACTGAATCACCAGAAAGGAGCTCTTCCAGTCCATCTGTGACAGCTCCAAGTGCAGAGGAAACACTCTTTGTGGAGACACTGATTCAATGTGGCAGGGGATAAGTGGGCTGGCAGCAGTGGCTTTGTGCATTTTAATAACTGACAAAAAAAGAGATGGGAATGACATTCAGGAAATGAAACAGAGAATGTAAATTTTCTCTTCTCAACTAACCCAACATACTTGTGCTTGCTGCATTTTAAAGGGCAAGAAATTTGGCTGGGACAATGAAAACTGCATGCATCTCTTATAAAATATTTATATTGCAACTCAAAGTAACATGAATAACATATCTTAATATAGATGATACACATTTCACCATATAAAATACACCAGTGTGCTGCAAAAGGTTTGCTTAGGGATTTCTTGTTGCTGTTGTTTTCTCTTGTTCTTAGTGGGGATTAGTGATACAGATTAGTAACTTGTCTAAGATTAGAGAATGCAGAGAAAGGAAAAAGAAGTGCAACCAAGCAAAATCCTTATCAGGGTTACCCATACTGTGTCTGTATAGGTAAAGAGATGTGAGAACATAACCTTTGGAGCTACAGCTGTGTTCTTAAATTTGATACAGGCAAGGTGGGTTTTGTCCAGCAAATACCTAGGTACCACATAATATAATGTGTATCATATAATCTCACAGTCTGTAAATATGACACATTTCTTCTTACAGTCTAAGATCATATTCCTGAAACTGGAAAGAAAGTTTGGATATCAAGAGAAAATAATTTCTTTTCTTCTCTAAAATCTCTGAGCCGTCCATACAGATCAGGCTGAGAATTCAGGATCTTTCCTCACAAAAGTACAACAAATACATCACAATCCTTAAATGGAACAGATACCAGTGGGGCTCTCAGTTAAGAACATTCTGCTTCATAGGAGAAACTGTGACCCTATGGATTTTTCAGTTACAATGAAGTTATGACTTAGTGAATCCTAAAATACCCTTGTGCCCTGTCTTAAGCTGCTGTTAAGTATTTATGTTCCATTCTGAGCTACTGACCAGCTCCACGTGGAGGTGGCCAAGGTTCTCTAGGAGCTAAGGGTTGCCTTAGTTATTTATTTTTTCCTTAGTCTCCTTGATATGAAGGAGTTTAGGACACTTTGAACAGAAAAAGAATTGGAAGTGTGAGACAACATTTTCTTCTGGGGAAGTGAAAAAAAGTTGAAGAGAGATATGATATTCTTTCCACTTTTTCCAAACCATGCATTTAGTGGCCTTTAAAAAAACAATGACTATCACTTTCCCAGCAAATGAAAAAAAAAGGAAAAGGATGGCTCTTCATAAAACCATGTCAAATCTCTTCCTGATTTTTTCAAATTTTTTGGCAACATTTGACCAGCAGTAAAGATAGCATGTGTGCCATAATCTTTAGTTTTTCAGTCTGAACTGACTGTAAATTCATTTTAATTTAAAACATAAACAAATCTCTTATCTATCTTGCTTATTTTGGAAGATTAGTGCAAACATAACTTAATAACTAATATAGCAATAAAACTTCTGCAAGGAGAAATTTACTGTACATTAATCTTTAGATTCTCTATTTGGACTGGAAATGATTACATGATAATGGAGTAAATGCTTTGCTAAGTGAATGCAAACTTAAATACTGTATATATCAAATGTGGACATGCTGAAGAATAAATCTGCACTGCAGATTAATTAATTTACAGGAAGAACTTTCTTAAATGAAAGCTTCTGAAATAATAAGTCCAGGGAAGTGAGTAGGCTATCATTTAAGGGCAGGAAGTAAATTCATTGTGAATCTATTAAATGAGAGACAGCAAAGTTTTCTATTGAAACAGTGAAAAAATAGCTACAGCCATCAAAGTTTCCTTCCCCCAGGTAGGAATCAATTCTTTATGCAGCCTGGAGGTGTTACCAAACTCATTAATTATAATGGTCTAAATTGTAGGGTTACCTGAACCCAGAAGACTGCAGATTCTGTAGGAATATTCCTTCCACAAGGAGGAGAGCGAATGTAAAAGTACATCCCAAGATGTTCACTCACTACCCACCACTTGAAAGTCGAACTCTGTGTCAAATTTAGTCTGAAATGCATCCTTCACCTTTTTTTTTATGAGAAAATCTATGTAACTCTGCTACCAAGTGTGGTTCTGCATGTGAAGCCCTAGCAAGCAGCTGGTTGCAAATAGAGATCATCACAGGTCAAGAGGAAATTAAATCCCTGCCACATGGTTTGGTCTAAGGCAGCACCAGCACTGAACCATGGCCATTTCTGTAACTCCAAGTCAACTGTGACCCTCAGAAGCTTATGGATAGCTTGGGTAAGAAAGCCACAAACACATTTCTTGTGCTGTTTCTTTCCTTCTCCAAGCACTTATATGTTAACTGAAGTGGAGGAAAAAAAAAAAAAAGGTATTTCCCCTTCCTCCATTCCAGTGATTTTCAATTAAAATCAAACCTGGTTAAACTTCAGCAAATATCTAGTCTGCAGGACTGAAATGAGGGGAAATAGGTTGTTTTAAGATGAGAGTTGATGGTGGCCCATGTTTAAGATGCCATGGTGTATTGGGTTGCATGGCAAGGTTTTGGCAGTGAGGGAGCTACAAGAGTGGTTTCCCTGAGAAGGTGCCAGAAGCTTCCCCTGTGTCCAGCAGAACCAATGGCAGTTTATATGGATAAAGCCTCCTTCCAGTGAGTTAAAGTGCATTATAAAGAGATAGGCCCAAGAATTTCAGTGGATTAAACATTGCTTCACTCAGTGTTGCCCAAGTTCTCACTCTGAAAACCGAGCTGTGCCACTGATGTGGCACACTCCCAGCTCAGCTGCGCAACACCAGGCACAGCCTCCTGTTTTTGTAAAAGCAGATTTCGTGACTGATGGCCCTCCATCCCACCAGCATCCTCACTCCCACTGATAAGGGTACTGCAGGGGGAAACCAGCAGGGTGTTTGCTGGCAAATAATGTTTCCCAATTTGAGGAAACAGCTGGGGAAGATGATTGTCAGACAGGTTCAAGAAGCACAGAACAGACAGGAGTAGCAAGAAAGGTGAGGAAACCTGACCTCAACTCCACCCAAACCACAGGCCACCCACATTAATTTTCTGATATATATATGGGTGAAATAGGAATTAACTCTTCCCAGGTTCTTTCTGTTTTCCTGCCTGCCCTAAAGCTGTGACCTATGGATGCAGCTTCTGCACAGGCTCAGTAAAACCCAGTCAAACCCTCTGCGTCCCTCTTACCCAAACCCTGAGCTCTCCCAGAGCACGCCAGCTGAGCTGCAAGGAATGGCCACGTCCATACTTGGCCACACTGGGAACAGGAGTTCAAGGAATGAAAAGGTGATAGTGAAATAAAAGCATGAAGATGGAAAAGGATAAAGGGCAAGAATGTTGAAATTTAAGAATAAAGATAGATAATGGGAAAAAAAACCAAAAAAATCTCCCCCAGCCTGTCAAGAAAAGCTTTGGGAAGCATCATTTTAGAAAAAAATTCTAATAAGAATACAAAACTTCAAATTATGAGTCCAAAAGCGTTATTAAAATCTTGAATTAGTTTTTTAATAGAGAAGTGAAAATCTGAGAGGGCAGTGTTAATTAACATCCTAATGTCATGCCAGTGCTGGTATATGTATGAATTACTGCCACAAACCCTAGGGCAAGAGGTGTCCTGTTATCTCTCTGATAGCACTCACACGTTTCATTCCTGATATTTTTTGGTAATGGTGAGAAAGCTATCATCCTCTGTAATCACAAAAGAGAGCTGAACATGGTGAATGGGTGATCTCTTAGTGTCAAAACTTTTGCAAATATTGCTGTTATTTCCCTGTTAATGAATGTCTTGGTTGGGATATTTGAAACCCTTTTACAAAAATTATGTACTGCACTCATCATTGGTCTCATTTTCCACACACCAAACTGAAGCAATTTGCAGTCAAAAAGAATAATTTGCACTAACTTGCCATGAACTGTTTATGGATTCCTCCTGAACTGGAGTCATTACCAAGTCAGCACAGAGCTATTCTGGAGGCAAATTCATAAATGTATTTATGCCTAAAAGACACAGGATAGAACACCTTACTTATTTACAATTTCTCATCCCAGTTATTTTTCTTTCTATTTTCTTTCTGCCTCTCTATCTACTTCCAGGAACTAAGTCTTTTGGAAAATAATTTTAAGTGTTGCAACTTGTGTGTATTTGCACTTTTAGAACTGATTCCTGTGTTCAGGTGGGAGGAAATGAGTGATAGGGATATTAAGGGTCAGGGATACTGAGGACTCTTCAAGGTATCCAAGTAATTTTGAAAAATCTAAGGCAACCACAACTGGTTGACAAGGACTTAGCACCCTTGGAGTTTGTCTTGCAGACTCTTTGAAATGATCCTCCATCCCTTTCAAGTCACAAGGTCCCCGTTCATTGAAGCTGTGCAGGATCAATCCCATGAGGCTAAAGCATATGCCAAAAATCTGTCAGAAGCTAATAGCCAGGACATGTGACAGCAACACTTAATTCCCTGGATGGAAATGGGGGTTCACCTGGCATGAATAAGAATTATGACTTCAGAGAGGGCTTTTCTGATAAAACCTCTGATCTCTATCAACTACAGTCACTGTGACTTTCAGTTCTAAGCAACAGACTCCCAGGCACACTTACACCTTCCCTCAGCTATTCCATGCAATGCCAATATCCCATCCTTTCCAAATTGCTTTTCATAAATTAAGGTTGGGCTATTTTAGCAAACTGTCCATCAGAAAAGCTTTCCAGAGCAAGGAAAAATTTTACATAAATCCATTTTTCAAACATGCCTTAGTAAAAAAGGGTCAGAGAAAAAGTATTTAAAGTTTGAGGGGAAAAAAAACCCAAACATTTTTAATGGCACATAGTGGCCAACAGCAACAATGGCTGAGGCTGGGACACTGCTGCAGAGCAGAGGCTGCTGCTCTCCTAACAACTCTATGATGAACACAAATTTAAGTGTGGAATTTGAGACTATTATTAGCTTTCATCAGTCTCTCCGTGGCTTATTCATGAAATCTGGACACATCCCAGAAGCATGGTTTCTCAGCCCTCATTAGGCTCTGCAAAATGAGCCTCCTGCACTTGGAAATACCTACTTGGCACAGATTCTCTCTTCTCTCTCTTCTTTCAGTGGGTGTTTTGTTGCAATATTCAGGGTTCATATTGGGCCAGATCCTTTTTCAGAGGAAGGGCTGAACCACGCTCGCAGCTCGCCTGGAGCAGTCGAGGGAAGGCTGCACATGCCATTATTTCTTACAGCTGCACACATAACACAACTAAAAATGTCTGCATAAAGCCAAGTTCACATCCAAACAGCATGAAAAAACTCCAGCAGGGTTGCCTTTGTCGCTGTGTGCCCTCTCTCTCTGGCACACACACTGCACCAGACTTGCTCGCTTGCAGACACACAGACTCAGTGACCTGCAAAACTGTTCCTGATCTTCCACACATGAGCTCTGCTCTGCCAGCCCCATATCAAATGGAAAGATCATTAATGTAATGAACCACCCACAAAAGGCTTTTATTTAGAAGGCACAAACACGTGTGTCACTTTCTGCTCATAATACCCAACATAACATTTGCACAGAAACAAATTCACGTGGATGAGGTGGCAGAGGAATCTTCTTTGTGCTAAATTCACCTGGATTAGCCAGAAGGAGCTAAGTTTGGGATGTTCAGTCTCCTGACTGAAAAGATTAGCTGTAGGTCAGCCAAAGCTGACTTGGGTTAACAACCTAGCATCAAACAAATTGTTTTGTCTGCTAGGAAAACAGACCCACTGAATTCAGGAATGCTTTCTGTTTTGAAGAGTGGGCAGCAGCAGTGCCAGATGACAATCCTCTTTTGTTTGGATGCTGGCTTGTTGCTTTCAAGTGTTTCATGGATCTTTTAAGTAATTTCCAAGTTTTTTAACTCCTCACATGTAATTTTCTCAAATTCTTCAGCTTCAGGGAGATATTTGATATTTCTTCTTACTTAAATTGCAAGGCATTTTCAACACCAGCAGTTCTGGTTTACTCTTCATCCTTCTCTGACACAGTTTCTATCACCAATTCCACAATTCTTACACCTTTTCCTTCAGTTAGAATCATTAAAGCATGGTGTCCTCTTAGTAGTAGCTTCTTTGCCTAAAGCAATGACAGACAAAGTAAAATACCAGATCAGTTAATTGATATTACTGACAGGACCTCTGATCTCTAAAAACTAATATACGAGGTTTTCGTGAGGGATTTTTTTCATGTAGCAATTTTTTTTAATTCTCTCCAGATTTTAAATGAGTTGGTTACCAAAAATTTGAGCTTTGTAAGTGGCTGCTGGCGTATTTTTATGTACATAAAGGACAGAAAAACAAAAACACTGATGTTAATGGGGGATTCAGTTGGCATTGATTACAACCACAACCAAGGTTTAGAGTTCTGCCTCATGGATGTCTTACAAAACAAGCAAAGCTTTCCAAATGTTTCATAAAAAAATATCCAAAATAAAGCAGCAGTATGTCGCAAGTGTACACTTTTTTTGTTCTTTGCAAACCCAGTAATAATGTATTCAGTTAGCATCTTTAAAAACATACAATTAGGGTTTCTTTTCAGTAGTATCTGTTCAATATTGCAAAAATAAAAATGAATCATACAGAGTGGACTTGAAAGTCTGTATTTGCTATGTGTCAATGGAAAGTTTGATATTAAACAGTTATTATTGGGCAGCACCAAGAAAACCGCTTGTTCTCAACATATTTTCCTTTCCATAAACCAAGGAGCCAGAACTTTTCCATAGAAAAAGGAAGAGGAAATAACTGGATCTCATATAAAACCACTGAACATTTTTGGTCAGACCTCAATTATTTTCAAAAGCTTCATGGGGTGGTGATGTTTCTGTTTCAAATTAGGGAGATGTCCAAGAGGCACACAACAGAATGGGATGTGCCTTCCTCAGAACACAAGGATGCTGCTATCCCAGGCAGATCCAGTTAACTGTGGAAACAGAAAGCACATGTATAAGTTTAACATGAATATAACCAGGGAATGCAGGTGTTGGTTTCATCTGCACTGTTTTCCTAGACAATGTCGAATTTTCCTGTTTCAAAACCACTGACTGGGAAAAGGTTGGCTTGTCCAGGCACAGTTTCTTCTTTTCTTATGAAGCCTAGATTTCATGCAACATATATAAAAGCAGCTACTTCCCAGTGTTTAAACTTTCTGCTACTCCCAGAAAAATTATATTGCTCATTATTCTGTGATGTTGAATAGCTGGTCTACCACTGAATTCATTCATCAATCTACCTTAGATTTTAAAAGGAGGACCCAGCTGTGCTGCCACCAAAATTCATGGTACAACTCTCAATGATGGACACTGCTGGTTACCAAGGAATGTAATCTGCTTATAGCAGATGCCTTTAGAATCATTAGGAGCTTTGTACACATACATTTGTATAATGTATTGTATTAATTTCTTAGCAGTAGTAGACATGAGCCTAAATATTGTCATTTCAAAGCCATAATAGTAATGGTGATGACTGAATTATTAACATAGAACTTAATTCAGGAGGTACTCACTATGGAATTTTCACAAGGTGGCTGTGAATAATTCAAACACTCACTGGTACATGGAAAACAATGTGTTTGTAACATTGTTCAAATACTCAGAATTCAGGCTGTCTTTTGTTTAGGCCAAATCAATCACATGGTTCCCTATGGAACGAGCATGCTAAAGCCTTTCCTGTAAATCTTCCACAGGCAAACATAATCATGGACTGGTAGAATCACAGAATCATTTAGGATGGAAGAAACTTTTAAGCTCATCAAGTCCAACCATTGTCCCAACACTGCCAAGTCCACCACTAAATCATAACCCTAAGCACCATATTTACAGGTGTTTTAAACACTTCCAGAGGTTGTGAGTTCATCATTTCCCTGTACAACCTGTTCCAATGTTTGATAACCCTTCCTGTGAAGAAATGTTTCCAAATATCCAAACTAAACTTCCTCTGGTGCAACCTGAGGCTGTTTCCTCTCGTCCTGTCTTGTCACCTGGGAGAAGAGACCAGCCCCCACCTGGCTGCACCCTTCCTTCAGCTATTACTGTTAATGATTAGCTAAGAGAATAATTAGTTCTCCCCTGAGTTGCCTTTTCTCCAGGCTAAAACCCCAGCTCCCTCAGCCACCCTTCTCCAGAGCCTTCCCCAGCTCCCTTCCCTTCTCTGGACTTACTCCAACCCCTCAACGTTTTTCTTGCTCTGAAATGCCAAAATCTGAACAAAGTATTCAAGGTGCAGCTTCACCAGTGCTTGTTGCTGGGTTTAATGCCCTTTTTCTCTGAATCTGGTAATAACTAGAACTTTCCTATTGCTATTCTGATCCTTTGCAGACTGGATTTTTTCTTGGACAGACTTTAAAGTCCAAAGTACAGTAGCTACTCTAGTCCAAAATTTTCTCTTACCTGACTGCATGACACATGACAGGAGAAGGATGGAGGTACCCCAAATTGTCATTCTTCTTTGTTCTCCCTCCTTTGTTTCCTCACCAGTGTTGTAATCCACAATAAAACCCCTATTGAGAACCTTTCTAATGCAGTTCACAAGTCCACCTCCAAAGTTTGAAGCTCTGGCTCAAACAGCTAATTAGAGAACTTACCTTCTATAGTCTCCTCTAGCCTGTAGTTTGCTAACCCTAATCAGCTTTGCCCATTTGAATGCTTCCCCACATCCTTCATTCTAACTAACTGACATTTTGTCGGGCTGAGCAGCTTCTTACCTTCCTTTCAGTTAAACTTGATAATTTGATCACATAGTCAAGATACAATTACTCTGCAGGCAGGAACTGAAAGCTTTCCACAGTTTACTTTGTCCAAAAATTACCAGTACTTGAAAAAGTTTTTAGAATGGGTGAGATTTTCATATAATTTAAAAGTGAAAAGCAAGAAAATATTTAAGAAACAAACAAGAAAATTCTTGTTCTGAACCCATTTTCTGTTCAGATACCCATTTCAATTTATTAATCTTACACTTTCATCAAAGAGGAATACAGCTCTAAAATTTGTCTGTGAGACTTCTTATTTCCATATACTTCCTTTCAGAGAAAGTCAGAATCACATATCAGAGGAAAATCTACTAAAGAGATCAGCCCAATTTAGTAGCCAAGTTTAGTTTTTCTTATTGATTGTCAGGATGAAATAATTTTGATTGGATTTTTTGGAACTGTTAAAGATTAACCACTCCCCAGCTTCCCTAAAATAGCCTCTAGAATCTCAGAAAATCTGAGATAAAACTTTAGAGCAGTTGATTTGCCTCATTTCTGTGGAGGAATGGGTTAGGGACAGAGACATTCACTATTCTTTGTTTGCCAGACAAGGGACAGAGCTTTCAGACAATTGACTCATCTATGCAGATTACTGACAAAGGATGCTAAAGGGTCACTCTAAAAGGTGTCCCTTCAGGCCATGTGGGCTTGAGTGGTCCTGTCCACAACTTATTTGCTATAGTCCACTGCTTTTAGGTACATATGAAAAGAGCTTTGTGCAAAGCTCATATTAAGACATCTCTGCATGACTTTCCTTTATTTCTTTCAAAGATTCTGGACAGCCCTCATCTATGTGGCAAAGGTCAAATGGGAAACATCTTGAAAAGAGCTACTGAAGCAGCAAGGGAATGTGAATCTTTGTGCTCTTCTGCTCTCAGCCATGAAGCTACTGTACCTTATGAGTAAGTTCATGGTTCTTTGTTCCTTTGAGACTATTTATTAAAAAATAAGCCTTTGAAAGCCCTCTTTATTTTCAGTTTGAATCATATAATTAAGGGGAGGAGGTGGAAGCACACTTAAAATATTTTCACTGGAGTCACCTTTGTTAGTTAAGGGGAAGGATCTGTATTTACAAGAGATGAAATACAGGTCTGTGGAACATAATCACAGAGAATGCAATGGTATTTGAAAATCACAGTTGTACTGAAAAACTTCATCTTGAGTTGCATTTTATTGTAGAAATATGACAGTTCCGAAGGCTTGATCACTTGTGAAGCTTTTCGTAATACATTTCTATTCTCTTTTAGCATCCAAGACAAATGGAAAAAGAGACAAATCATTCCAAGTCTGCACAGATTCGCAGGTTTTAGTAGAATATTGCCTTATTTTTCATAGTTTGAGATCTTACTGATTGCCTTGATATGTTCTCATCTCAATTCTTTTTCAGAGCAATCAGTTTTCCTGTTACTAGCTCTGCTATGACTTTGCTCTCAGTCTCAGAAGAAACCTCCTGAACCTCTTTGAGATTAGCAAGCAATAATATGTCACACCCAAAGGAATTATAGAAAACATGCTGTTAATAAAGATACCCAGAAAAGGTCAGCTGTGAAAACAAGAAAACAAACTGCATTTCCATCCTGCCCCGATGCTGGAGGTAGGGAATGTTAAGCAGTTCCCTCGGCAGAGCAAAGCTGCTGCCCCAAGCTAAGAGCACCCAGGCCAGCACAGAGGGCTGTGCTCATGGGCAGACAGATCCTGGAACACCTATAGCCATGGGACAGACTATAGGTGACAGCCCCTGTCCTCCCCTGGCCAAGCACCACCAGGGCTGAATTTAAAGGTTTAAATGGAGCACTTGCTGTGCCAAGTAAAGAATATATTTAGAAACCTCTGTACTAAAGGGACAGATTTCTTTTGAAATCGCTTTTCTGTAGCTTTCAAACAAGTTCATGGTGTCATGTGAAGAACAGGGTGCCTTTTGAAAAATAGGGATAGGCCTTTTTAAAATTTGCATAACATAAAATGGCATTTGTTATTTCCATTTTGTAACTCACACAGAGAATATTTATTAGATAGAATGTTAAATGTGAGCTCTGTGAAATATTGCAATTCCAGAAATGTGTCAAGAAAATGCACTCATCTCAAAAATCAAGCTGAAAAACCATGATCTGGCATTTAAGAATCTGCCTGTGCCAATAGCTCAGATTCATTTTCCAGTACAAAAAGCAGGATGTGCCTATTCAGTACAACATGACCATAATGTTATCTAACAGAAGTCCACAGAACACATGAAACATTTGTCTTACAGTCCCTAGGTGAGCACATTATCATTTTCTTCTTGTCACTCAACACTGAGCATGTTAGATAACAACCTATAATAGAATTTAATATAATGGTTTCTCCAGTCAATACTGGGATGAAGATTGAGGTTTTTTTAATGGGATCTGAGTAGCCAAATCCCCTGGGCAGCATGGATGATCACATCAGCCTTAAAATTCAGTCGAGCAAAAAAATAGTGTCAACATAATTTTAATATTGGAAAGCAGTTGTTGCCTTCACTACCTTAAAATGAAAATTCTCACATAGAAATATGTATTTAATAGAAGTTTTTTGAGAGAAACACTCTTCATTCAAAGATTTTTTCAAAAAGATAAATATATTCCCCATTTACCAAATAACTCTTCAAGATTTTGCATCTGCCCTCCTATTTCTATCCTGCTAATAAAAAGAAAATGGCAAAGAAACGTAACAAAAATAATTCTGAAATTGAACAAGTATTTTGATTTTTCCTTTTGTCTCATTTAAATGGGAAAAGGAAGGGAGACTTTCTTAGTGGCAGGTTAGAAAGGTGCTTTGCTGGCTGATTCTGAACCTATCTCACAAAACTTCTGGCCTCATGAAGCAGCACTGAACACTAAGGCAGAGGAAACTCTCATGAGTCCCACCTGCTTAACCCAGGACAAATACAAAAAATAGTCCCACCAAGGGTTTTTTTAATGGGAAAATGCATAGAGCTTCTCTGTTACCATTTACAACGTGGGTCAGCCTGGGGCTGTCCCTGCTCTGCCTGGGTAGCAAATCCCACGTGCAATTAGCTACCAAAAGCCTGCAGATCCAGGCTTTGACTTGAGGCATCCATGAGGAACCAAACATCCTCTTTGCCTCTTTGATCCAGCCCTTAAAAATAAGCAGGTGATGATAGTACAGTCCCACCTGTTGTTGCCTTTCCTTATACAACAATCACTCACTCTAACAGAATTCAATCTGATAAGCCAACTTTTATCCTCAACTTTTCTGCTTCAATTAATTTGTAATAACTGAGACTCTCAAGGCAGCTGAAAACCAGTCAGGAATGATCTTTCAAATACACTAACATCTGATTCCTGGGAAATGAACTGTCATTATTAAAAATAGCTTTCCAGTTGAATCCATATACTGACAGGAGGCAAAAATACATTAAGAAGTTAATTTAAAAGTACTAGAGACATGGAACCATAATCATAAATTGATTTATGTGAATTTAAATGTCCCTCTGCACATTATATCTTGCTTTTACTGGTATATGTGTAAAAACATCTTACTATCAGTATTTTAATAATGCAAAGATGCAATCAAAGTTGTGCTACTTGAAAATTTGGAATTATTCATATTAGTTTTTGCAAAAGTAAGCATCACACAAGAAGCTCCATGGATTTTTATTTACCTGTCATGTAGAATATAGAAACAACAGTGTTTCTATTCTATTATCATGAATAAATACACACTATAATATATAAATCTCTACATAGATGTATTTTTATTGACACCCCTCTTTGAGACTGGAAAAATACCAATACCCAATTGTAAAAATGGTGTCTTCCAGTAAGACCTTACAGTATAAATAGACAATAAAGACAAGGAATGGGAAAAAAGAAAGCCTTGTTATGAACACTTTATGATCTGAGGCACTGGGGGAGTAAAAGATTTTCCCCACCACACCATAAGAAGCTTCTGACAGAAATAAGAATCAAACCAGAGTTCTTAAAATGCAGTCTTGTGCTCTAACCACATGGCCAAAAATGTCTGTAAAATATGAAAGGTTTAGTAGGAAATGATGTTGTGAATTAACATGAAGAGCTGCTGATACAATAATGGAGTTTATTTTGCATATTTGCCTTCTGAACTCCTGGGCATAGCAAAACTCTTCAGGGAGGGGTGACTATGCCAACAAAAAGAGTGTGCAAGTGTATTTCAGAGACATCTTTTCAAATCACATGGTTTATTTATTTTTTTTTCCCACTGACCTTCCTGAAGGTAACTCAGTGCTGACATGCTGTTGTTGAATGGTTTTCTATCAGAAAGAGAACAAAATAGAATCTGGATAAATGAAAAAAAATAACTTGCTTGAAGACTGTGTACCACAGGAAATAAGACTGCCTCTTAGCAACTCAAAAGAGATTTGAATCTGAAGAAAAGCAAATAAAAATAAAAGAGAAGGATTCTGGAAGGTAGGAGTACCCCACAACTGTCAGTTCTACCACACCATGGGCTAAAACACGAATAGACACTGTTGCGATTAACACTGCAAATTAAATGCAGCTGCTAAAACATTTCCTGGCTAATCTTTGGGTCTGTTACATTTGACCCACATTGCTGAAATGCTGTTCCAAACTGAGTCATGTCTTATGGACACCTTACAGATTAGCCCAAGCAAAAAGCAGCACTAAAAACAGCAGTGAGTTGCACTAAAATAGGAAGTAAATGGAATCAGCTACTTCCCCCTCTTTGTCACATACAGACACACAAAACCCAAAACAATTCCCACTATTGCAGATGAGCTCCCCATGACTGGTGAGCCATGCATGCTCCATACACAGGGGCTTGAGCCAAGCCACATCTGAGCAAAGCCCCTGTCCAGCTTCTTCCTGACAGATCAGCCAGCTTGCTGCTCAGGCTTCTCCTGCCTTTAGCTCTATACACCTTGAACTCCCCTCTATGGACTCCAGAACAAAATTTTATTAGCATGAAATGCAAAGAAGAACTTACAGGAAGCATTAAAAATCTGGGAGTAATCAAATTTTTTTTTTTTTTTTTGGTTTAATTACTGTGCTAGTACAGTGCATTACTGTGCCTTCTGAGTACTGTGCTGAGAGCATGGAAAAGGTCCCCAAAACTATACAATAGAAGTGCAGGACTGAAGGAGGAATGGAAACCAGATGCTGAAAAAAGGATATACTGGTAGGAGTATAATTTGTGGCACCATACAGTTGTCCTCCACAGTCTCCAGCCTCACTTGCCTCACCAGGTCAGTGTAATACGATTGTCACCTACAAAAATCACAGTAATCTTGCTTTTACACGTATCTCATTCCTCCAGGTTGTAGTTCTTTTCAGCCAAAATAACCTCTCTCACAGCATACCCCAACAGGGATCCACCCCTCCTGCATGCCTCACCACCATTCCCAGTTATTTTATGTTCAGTTTAATTTGCAGACTCTTTGGAACAGAATAGCGCTACAAACCAGCAGGTTTTTAGTGTGTGCAGCACATGTTTGTCTATCTCAGAGTGTACAAACAATGTAATCTTGAAGAGCCATATTTTCCCCAGCCTTTTATGCAGGGCTGAAGGGGTTTGAACTCCTCTTTACTCCCACTTTCTCACACAAGAATCACAGTTCTGTAAGTTGCCCACAAATTGCTGCTTGTACAGAGCATAAAGCATCGTGCTCTAACAGTAAATTAACTGAGTAACATCTTAAAGCCTGTGTGCTGGGAAATATTTTAGCATTTATTTTTAAGTATTCTTCAGCTTATTATTTTTAAGTTCCTCAGCAAAGCCTCCTGTCCTACAAAAAGGAGGGATTTTCAGTGGGGATGGGTTTAATGTTATCCCCTGCTTTTGGTGCTTAACTGAAAGATTTGTTTATGAAAAGATTTTGGGGAATTTAGGGAGAACTCATCACAGAGCTAGATATTTTTCTGAGGAGTCCAGAAGTAGCATCCATAAATCATTGCAGGACATAATTCTGCAGAAGTGGCTGATGGGCCACCAAGGCCTTACAGTCAGCAAGAAAAGAAACAAAACTGTTTTTCTCTTCAAGCTCAGGGAATAATTAAACCATCAGGGTTGAGAAAAGTGGTACCCATCATTGAAAATAAATAAATCTCAATCTTCTCTCTTGTTCAAAAGCAGGCATAAGATACATATATATACTTGTCAATTAACACATATAACCTATCCTTATATGTCCTATGCATTTTCACAATTAACTAGAATTTCTAATACAAGCACACTATGTTAAAAAATGCATGCAGCAAACCTTGATCAAAGCCTAAGGCAGGCTGATAATGGTCCTTAATTTCATAAGCAGTCTTAAGACATTTATTAAAACCTCTTACTCTTTCCATGGCTTAATAGCAAAAATTACTAAACTTACTGTAGAACAAGTCAGTGGATTTAACACATTTACTTCTTTTGCATGTAAACTCATTCCAGCAGAACAAAAAGTGGGATTTGTCATTATTATAACACCAGCTTTCTCCAACTCTCTCCAAAACTTTCTCCTTGTCTTTCACAAAAGGAATGGATTTTTCTGCCTATCTTCTTTTTCCAGATCAGCTCTAGTCCTAGCACAAAACTTTGTGATTTCCATTATAAAAGTTCACCTTTTATCTTTACTACTCATGTTTTTTGACTCACATAGTCTTTTGATGAATTACTGTACTTTAACTTCCTCACTTCTCTTTTTCTCTTGTGATTATACCTCTCAAAAGCCTTTTGAAATGTAAACAAGTTATGGAGTCAGAATGCCTTCCTTTCCACTGCTGCATGGATTCCTTCCACCTACACTAACAAACAGTGCAGCACCATGTTCTGCAGCTGAACCTGTGGGAATACAGCAAGTTCAAGGACATGATTTTGAAAAATCTCAATTTATAGACACGGTAGGTTTTGATTACATAGGAGACATGCACTAAACTGGGTTTAATTTCTGTATACTAAAGAGCTCATTAAAATATAGAAATTAAAACCTCCTAAACACATGGAATTTCCACTTACTGTCACTCATAGGGATGTAGGTTTCTGCATGTGTATGTAGAAGTGTATCACATTTCAATCAGCCATGGTTCCTCCTGCAATATGAGAATTTATTACAGGGAAGTGTATGCTCAGACTGACCATCAATCTTTAACCAATGTCATAAGTTACTGCTTCTTCTTTGGTAGAAGAAAGGAAAGTTGTTCTTGGCATTTGGTCTTCATTCTTTTTTTTATGGAGGTCCAGTATCCAAAAATGCAAAGGTTTTTCTTCTTCCTCCTTTGATTATAGGGTAAATTCTATTACATCCATATTTGCATCTTCTCCCCTATCCCATATCAAATGTTACAGCTCAAATACCTCTCTGACAGAGATCTGGTCTCTCTGTCTTCTAAAGTGAATTCTTAGTCAACTATTCTTTTGTGGAAGGAGGGGCTTTTTTGTTATTTGACATCTGGCAGTCATTTAAAGCACAGGCAACTCCTCATTCGGAACACTACACATATCTGATTTACTTTCAATATTTTCTTGGTCTAAATTCCACCTTATTGCTTTTCTTGGCAAAAAAAAAATTAAAATTCTGTTGGGTGGAGCTAGATTTCCACTGCTAGATTTTCACTTTACTTCATAACACAACAGATCCTTTAGAACTATCTAATGTGCAAAATCTGTTGTTTATACAGATCTGCAGCTGGCTTTGTCCCAGTTGCTCGAGAGTGATATCTAAACATAAAATAATCTCTGTATAAACTGTGGGTTTGTAAAATATGTAAGCGCTCAGTGTTTGTTCAGCCCAGGTCACTTGCAGAAAATGAAGGTTATGCCTGGGTGATAACCATCAGATGTCGGTTCAGAAGGGAATCCAAATTTTTCCAAAGTTTAATTATGCTCAAGTCACAAGGACATGAGATGGGGACAGGTTGAGTAGAATTTTAAAGCGTGCCATCAGCACATGCAAAAACTTACCCACGGTGACTGCACTTCCTTGAATTCTGTGACACGAAGTCAAGTAAAGTAAACAACATTTAAAGACATACCTAATTATGAGATTGCACCCTTGGAGTCATTAGAGCTGCAATCAGGAACAATGCCTCTTTTCTGCTCACACAGAGCAGTGATCCTGCTCTAATGATCCTGCTCTAATGATTAACTGCTGCTGAAGGGTAACACAAGGTAAGGTTAGAAGAGTTTTCAGGCAATGAAATACGTGTGTGTCACTTGAACAGCACAGCTTATCACATCAAGGGTCCTGTCTTGCAAAAAGTAAGTAGAGCTGTAGTTATTTCAGTTTTGGTACAAGGTAATCTCATCTATCAGCTATAAAATCCCACTCTGACATTGCAGCTGGGGTTTGAAGAGTTAACCTTAGGATAGCAGAAGCATATTATTTACATCAAGGTTTAGAAAAATCATCTTTTTATATTAGAAGAAACTGCCATGTGAAAGCTAAGGGAAATATTACCTGAAAAAAAGGGCAGATATGGCCCAGTTTTAATGCCTGTTTTATAGGAAAACCAGCTAGAGAGGTCAGTAGGTCATTTTTGGCAAAATTATTATTTTAGGCTTTTCAATGCTTTTAATCAGATATAACAAATTATATCACCCCTACCTCAGCTGCATAGATTACCACTCACTAGAGCACACTCCCTGCTGCTAGTACAGCTCACTGATCAAAAATAGCACATACAGCTTGGCAAAATTAATCATTTCTTTTCTGATCCTTTCCCATCATCTCCTGCAAGCTCCAGAAAGCAGAATCTCCTCTTATGGAGGTGCCACTGCCTAAAACACCAGGGCCCATTTCCTTCATACACCCATAAATGAACATGTCAATGCAGCACCCTGCAGAGGTATAACTCCATGTGCTGAGCTCTGATATAGGATTTGTTTTGCTTCCAAGTTACCCTGGGAGTGGGACCTTCTCCTCAAAGCCTTTCTCTCTGAAGCCCTCTCCTGCCATGGAGTATTCACTATAGCAATGAAAATGTCTGGGTGGCATTGGGGCATCAGCATGATCCTGTGGAAGATCAAACATATTCATTCATATAATAAAACACTGAGATTCCTTGAAATTTATCATTCTTTGAATCTTCAAATAATCTTTTCTTTTGCTTAGCTGAATATTGAAAAGATCACAGCATAGATGTTCTAATAAAGAACTTCAGCTTAGTTCATGCCAATCTTCTCTTCCACTTCAATCTTAGTGTCGTTTCTGAACTCAAATTCTTGTACATTCAGTTATTGCAAAATATTCTGTGTAACCATTAGGAATACAGGTGATTTATCCAAACCCTCAGCTCGAGCTTCACTGCTCTCCTAGCCAGCCCTTCTCCTGTCTCTAGTAAGTTACTAGGGCAAGGCACAGCATTGCTTGTCTTTCTACAGCAATAATAAACAGTATTTATTGTCTTTACTATTGAGATTTTTTTCCCACGCTCTGATTTTTAACTTTCTGCAAAACGCAACCCACAGGGTGCAGTGGCTTCATTCCAATAGTTCACCTGCACCTGTATCTGCAAACCTTTGGGAAAATATATTGATCTCTCTTCTATGTTCTCCCTACCTGCTGGAGTGATTTGCTCTTCAGGGAGTAGGAAGCTGAAGCTGAAACTGACCCAAATTTTGTTTTCATTTCCCAGTTAGGTTCAGAGTCAAGGTTGCTTGAGTGACAATAACTATAATTTTTACCGTGTCATAAGCTTAACTTTTTTTTTTCCTAAAAGGTACTCAAGTTTGCTTTTAAAGGATTTGAAATATTACAGCATTTCTCTAAGGATTCATACAGGGGGTAGAAAAGGCTGAGGCAATCAATAATTTGTCTCAAAAGTAAATAAGGAAGGGGAAAAATATATCTCCTTTAACCTAGGGAATTGTGGGATCAGGTAGATTGTGAGTGAATAAGAGTGTCAAGATTACAGTTGAGTTCCCTCTTTGGGAATTTCTAATATTCTCAGGTGGCTGTGGTTAATTCTGTGTTTTTAGTTCATGTCTTCCGCCAGCAGCTGGCACAATTTCAAGCAACAGAAATACACAACTCTCAAACAAAAATACAAGATTGACCATGATAATCAACACATAGCAAATATAATTGGAGTTCAGTGCTTGGATCAGAGAGAGAGCAACATCCTGACATGGCAAACGTGCCTGTTGGGACAGCTGCTGCACCTGACAGCCCGTCCTTTGCCAGCTCCTGTCTGCCTCTCCTCCCCACAGCCCCCGAGCCCCTCTTGCTGCCCTTGGAGCTGTGATCTGTGCCTGCTGAGAGGGGGCCAGGCCATCTGCATCTGCAGGCTGCCTTTGCACAAGTGCTCAGCCCTCACAATGGAGTCCTGATTTTCCAGAGGCTCTGGCACCCATTCAGCCACCTTACTGCAGCGTACCAGCGCTTTCAGAAGTGCTTGGCCATGAGCAGTTCCTGTTGACATGAAGCATGTCTGTGTGCTTATCTACAGCTGTCACCTCTTCTGCAGGTCCTTTAAGCACCTCCTTTGCTGGTGCCTGTGTCAGCACAATGACCTATCCCACTGTCAGGTGCATCTTTAGGACGTGAGGTCCCACACAGGGGAGAAATCCCAGTCCCAGCAGCTGGTGGGGTCTGCTCTGCCTCGCTGGGGTTCTGCCAGCAAATGTGGCACAGCCCCAGCTGCAGAGCAGTGCCATGGATCCCCCACAGAGTCCTGGTGTTATGGATGGAAGGTTCCAGGACTCTTCTCCCAGTGCTCTCCAATGAGTGAGCCAGATCTTGGGATAGGAGCGGGGAAAGAATGCGAGGTTGAATTCTTATGTGTGAATCACAGGCTGAGCATTTCACATGTACAAGTGGGGCTGTGAACAGCACAGACTGGATCACTTAAACACTGACTGCCTCTAACCAGTTGCACCTTTGCTCTTTATAGGAAGGCTTGATGGCATTTTGAAAATGGTTGTTAACCTTGAGGTGAGGTTCACAACAAACTCTCCACATTTATCTCCTCTTTGCAATGCTCCCTGCAGATTTTTCTCATCCTGTACCATGGATGTAGCACACAGGACTCTCTCCCCAGATTTCTGGACATTGTCAGATGAAGGCAGCTTCTCCAGAAACTAATCTGGATGGAAATATTCCTGTTTTATAAACATTTTCCCTGTATTGGTTATGAGTGAGATTGCCACCTACCTCAGCAGATGCACGAGGAAGTAAAGCCAAATTCCCTACTCATCATAGACAGAATGGGCATAGGCCACTACATTATTGTTTAGATGAAATATTTTCCTTACAAGAGTGTCTCTCCTAATGTTCCCTTCCAACTGCATTTGGTATTAGTTTGATACTTCATGTATAATGATGATTTGCTTCCTTGCCTTTTCACCAGGCACTGTAGTTTGGAAAATGCCAGTCTGACTCACAAGAAACAGAGAGACCACTCTGAAAAGAGATCCAGGAAAGTGGATATGCAGGTAAATCTATTGTAACATCCCTCTACAATAACTGAATCAAGCTGCAGGACACAAAGTCTGCTGAGGAGCAGAAATACTAATTTCAAGACATAAACAGCAACAAATCACCAATTCAACTGAAAAAATCTAAGCCAATTTTGTTTTCTGAAAAGATATTTACTTGCCTTCATCTTTGCATTTTCAAGGGTTATCGTTTTGTACAATAAGTAAAAGAAACCTTTTAAAAATGATTAATCTGACAGTGTCATTTTTAACTTTCACAACATCCCATGCTGTTACGACAAGCAGTGCACAGTTCAAAAGAAAGGAATGTTTCTATCAAAGCATTCCACACAAAGAATACAGAGCCCAGCATGGAATAACTAATGGCCCAAACGACAGCAGTAGTGTTTTTTTTAAAGTTCTTCAACCTGAGATGCATTCAGGTGTATCAAGCTGTGATCCAAATCTTTTCCATGCATACAGTGTCCCTCTGTCTGACTTAATACTTCACTTTTTTTAAGCATATCACATAACAACAGAGAGGTAGGTTTTTTAAGGGTTCCCCATTCAGCACCAGCAAAATATGGCTTCAGAAATGCCTTTACTTGCAGCATGTATGTGCTGATGATTGTTCAAATGGGCAATTAAAAAAGGGTGCAGATTGAAAAGCAGTTATAGAGGATGGTCCTTTCAGGATGGTCTGCTTGAAAATAGTTATCATTTTGAAGGAGTTTTGAGGGACATATATCTTTCAGGGTGGATTATAAAGGACAGCAAGCAGGAACCTGAGTAAGAGAGGGAGGCTCTTCATGCAAGGAGTTGCTGGGTCAGGTCATGTTTTCTCCAGGGACCATGCAGGTCCCTAACATCTGAGGTTGTCCTGCCAAAATCTGCTCTACAAATTCAATTTATTTCAGTAGGATTGTAATGTAATTTTCTCATGCAAAGCCCTAAAAATTGAAAACTATCCCTTTGCTTTTTGCTTAAGTTTATTTTCAGACCACATAAATAGTAGGTCAAATGCTGGAGCTGCACACTTGGTGCCACATGACCTTCCTAATGTGCTCAGCTATGCTTAGCTAAATTAAAAGGAAGCAATGATCACCACTGCTTACAAAGAAACCTCAAAACTTGCAGGTGATCTTCCTTGAAATATATCCATTCTTTTTCTCATGACATGCTCACTTTCTAACTATGCAGTTCTGAAGGTTTATCCAAATCCCAGTGAAATCAATCCTGTTTCATCTCAGGGCCTATTTCTCCTCTGACTAGCAGCACTTCAGTAGAAAAAATTAGAGTCACAGCACTGCAACATGTCAAATGGAGTTCTATATCTTTAGCTGTTCAATCATGATATCTTTTCAGCATTAAAAAGAGCAAAAGGTATAATAAAGTTTTGCTAAAACTAATAAGAGAAAGGGGACTTAAAGAATATGGGCTTAGTTATTGTTTATGAACACATAAAACACCAATATTTCGCTTCCTTACTTGTTTTTATAACCAGTTCCACAAAAACAGAATCAGGAAATGAAGTTATGGATTCCAAAAGAGAAAGTGCCAAATAGACTCAAGCTGTAGAT